TAACACATTAGAAACCGAATTTTTGCATAATTTTATTAAACAAAAGTCAAATGATTTGTTACTTGTCTTTGATGATATTGACTAATATTCACAATACATATCGTCAAATAAAGACAAACAAATGATTCGCGAGTTAACATAACATGTCAATCTGGAAAAGAGAACAACAAATCCGATTATTCTAACTTAATCTATAACATCGTTAAGTTTATTGCCTGCAGTTGGTAGCAATGACGAAGGAAATAAGGCAAAGGTTACATCCTCTAGCAGTACTCTGTGCTTGGTTGACACTTTTGACTTGAATAAATGTATGGTTGGCTTACCTGATTGAAAGATTTCCATTCGTTATTCAAAGTACATCTGACATTTCCGATGTACTGGAAAATATATATGAAGTGAAATTTAACAAAATGTCAAAGGGTACACTAGACAAAATTAGAATACAGATCCCTATTATAAAAACAATAATTGTGGGTCAATGAAATTATGAAAGAGCTCGGTATCCTCATAAAATCATATGAAAAACAGCCTATTGCCTTTTATTTGTATTTCTGAGTATGGGATGATTATTGTTTTTTCTTGATTGACGGAAGTTTTATTTTTACACCGGTTATTTTCATAATTGTGGTTTTATATGTGGTATTAGTGCTGGGTTTATTCCTTGTAGACGTTATGATATCTTCATAAATAAATGTTGGAAGTTTTTGTGCATAGTTTTTAGTATTTTGTTTTTGAAGGTATTTATCTTGTAATCTTGTTAAATAAGAATACTTATCTAGTGAAAATGTTAAATTCGTTTTTGTCAGATCTTGCAGGTCTTATTAATCCATTATGAGTCTGAAATTTTGGTTTTACGTTAGATATAGCGATAGTAGTGCAGGTTATTAGTGGGATAATGTTAGCTTTATACTATAGTGGCTCTATTAAGCGACACCATCAAAAATCATGGAGTGAAAAAAAAAAGTTTCAGATGAAAATTAGCCTTGGGCTTTTTCAATAGATTTTATCACCTGACGGCCCATCGCACAGTGGGGAATTTTCAGTAGGTACGTGGACATTTGGTTTTAAACTGATCTATTTCACTCAAAACACCAGATTTATAGGTTTTCGCAAGTCCTCTTTCCTCTGGAACACTTTTCAGCCGATATAGTGCTCAGAAAATTGGTTTTCTAGAGAATCTTGAGGGTTTTGAAGGTTTTAAGGTGACAGATATTACTTTTTTTAAAGTTTCATAGGTTTTCGAGTACGCTGAGTCCGATTACGATATTTTCAGACCTCGCCAACACTCTGAGAACGTTTTTGGAAAGACCTAGCCTCTAGAAAACAGTTTTCTCCCTCAAGTAAAAGGTTAAAAAAGGTCTTACAGCGTAAATAACGTCGCGCAACTCTCCTGACAGTGACCACCACCATCCAGAAAAAAACTGGACGAGCCACTGACAGCAAATCTCTCTAAGTTCTAGAACAGTGTTAGATCGAGGAACAGTCTCTCTCTGTCTTCTCTCTGTTAGAAGTCTTAGAAGTGTAGTTTTCCCCAGTCAAACACCGTTCACAGCTTCAACTGTTCCAGCACTTGGGGAGATTTGCTGTGGAGACTTTGTCACTTCAAATAACTTCTTCAGTAACTCCAACCGAAACCCGTCTAAGTCTGAGCGAGGAATGCCGGCCCTGATGGTAAGGTGGACAGTTCCTACGTCACAGACTTTCGACGGATCAACTGCGCCACAGGACAAGGCACTGGCATGCGTTACTGCCCGTATTACGATGACCGGCAGAAACCTAGGCAAAAATACTAGAAGGGAAGACAAAGAACGCGTTCGCTATGCCTAGCTGGCTTTAAACCGTTTTCACCCAGGCCTCCTAGCACCCTCAGCTTCTATCCCGTAACGTCATGGGACTCTCTCCGGCGCTTTAAAGCCTCCTTGGGTGCCTTCCCTGCTCAGCTAGCCGCTTCGGGAATAACGGGAGCTTCAAAGTAGTCAAAATGATAGTAGTTTGAAGTTGTGGTCTCGGAAGAACTGGCCGCTACTGCTCAAAACTGCAAAAGAGCCAGAGGGGGTGCGTTCGGCAGTCGAACTCCTCTGGGCGACCAGAACCAACTGTACCCTCAACAGCTAACCACTACCCACAGAAACCAGAAGAACCAAGGCCTTATCCTTATCATTAACTGACCTTACCTAAACACCATTACCGTGGTTTCACGTCGTTCCGGACGTAGTTTAACGTCTTCTCAGACTCTTAGGCTCATACTTCAGTAGTCTAACGTCATTTCGGACAAGACTGCCGATGGATGCTATTTTTTCTTAGAATACTGCTTTTACAAACTTTTTTCTCGTGAAGTTATTAAAAGATATACAGATCGATACAGTTTCGCGCGCTGATTCCAAATATGTCCTTACTTTTGAGATGAAGTGCCGAAAAACACGAAAAAATCTTTCAAAAACCTTACGGATTTGAAATCCTTATAACTCCGGATCCTGAAGTTTGGGCATCTTTGGGCATATATACGTCGGCGCGTCACATGTTGGAGAACATATCCTGAAAGCTTCATCTTGAACGGACTTTAGCTAAAATTAGCGCGCTTACTATACTGAACACTTCTCTCGTGCACGTGCATGCGAAAATTGTTTCGATAATTTTTTCCTTATAAAAATGACTTAAACGAAAAATCCTTTTACCAATCGAAAGCTTAGATGTTCAGCTTTCATGATCTATTAAACTTAAATTTTTCAAAACTCTACTACTTAGAAAAAATAACGCGTCTCGCAAAAACAGCGCAAAAACAGGCAAAATCTTGTGACTTACCTTTCTCGAGGATAATATAAGATAGGACCAAACGGTCTTCGACAAAATTGTTCGCCGTTGAGTGCTGCATATGGTCCACTATTCGAATTTTCAAAAATGTCACTTTCGATTTTTCACCTAATGTCTAAGTTGTTCCCCACTGTGCATCGATCGTTTGGAAACGGAACATTTCTGTCTGTCTGCTAATGTTATGTACATTAGATCATGTTTGGCAGCTATTTTGTGAAACTCCTCCTGCATCTGCGGAAGAAAGAGGAGTTAAGGTTATACTGGAAAATCCTTGACTTTGGTCATTTTTTTAACCTTCCTCCCTCCTCTGCGGGTCACATCGTCTTAAACTATTCTACAACTTATAAGGAGTTTCACCGTTTTAGCCCCGTAAGGGGCTGACAAGGTTTTCTCATGAATATAATAACCTTTATTATTATTATATTTCAAAAACCTATTGAAACACAAAATTTATGCGAATTATTGCTTTGCAAAATATTCGACAGCTGAAATAAAATGGCAATGATTTTAAAATTAAATCTGACGTATTAACTGTAGCAATTTCTGTCTTCATATTTTTATTTCAATTAAAATTTTTGTGGAATTTTCAGCCAGAAACGGTCATTATCAACAGAAAGGTGTTTCCTAATTAGCATCGGACGATAAAATCTACTGAGAAAAATTGAACCCAAGACGACGTTCGCGCTTTATTCTTGGCGCGAGCGCTAGATTCGCGTCTGTTGAGGCATGATCGCTATAAAATCCCAAAGTCATCACGCAATCTCTATGATCTCTTACACTCACGGCGCGATCTTGATAGATTCTTACTTCCGAAGAAACGTATTTTATAAGAATCGCTCGCGTTTGGTAGTCGCGCTGCGATCGCCTTACAGTCGCTTTATCGCGTCGTTTAGTCGCGTTACATTCTTAAACTCACTACGTGATCTTGATCGAATCTTATTTTCAAAATGAACATTTTCGAGTCGCTGCGCGATATGTAAACGCGTCGTAGTTGCTATAATGTCGCGCGTTATACATTCGCGATCTTTTGTTTAACCATTTTGTATCAGATCGAGGCGCTCTCTTTCACAAAATGTGGGAAATCTAGAGACTTCTACTATGTATAATTTGGTTAAATATATACTTCGAAAATCAAAAAAAATTATGTCATCAGCGGCGGCGGCGGGACCGAAAATCTTAGTTATCCAGCCACCGACACGGCGCACAGGTCTAAATACGTTAACTTCGCAAGATCTCAAAATTAAAATGCACTGAAGTGAGAAATGCATCAATGGTTGATGTCATGGCAATTGGGGCTCAGCCATTCCGCCTTATTCACAGGATGCTAGATTGGCTCTAGCAACGATCTGATATTAGCGTTTAGTGTTTACGGATATGCATTCTTTGAAAGTCCAAGCGTGAATGTTTTCTTCACATACGGCAAACCTTGCCAACGTTACGGAAAACGTTACAAAAAGTGATCGCATCATGTTCTCGAAGAAGCGCCCGAGTAAAACATAATGCAGCGGTAGTCAGAGAGGTAATAATATCGGAAACTCATTCTAAACTTTTTATGAAAGAGAAACATACTTGATAACGTTTGATCTAGTTATTACAGCAAAAGGATCCGCATTGCGTACTTTTATCTTACCTTTATTTTAAAATAGTCTTATTTCGCGACTCTTATAGCGATCGCGGTAAGACTTTTTATTGCGAGCGGAGCAAGAAAGTTGATTTAGGAAGGCTAATTTTCATCTAAGACCTTTTAAGTATGTCTAATTCTGATTGTCAAAATAATAGTTTGAAAATCGCTGATAATCGAAACAACTTTCGCCAAGTTCATACTTTTTTTAACTATTCGCGCGTGAAAGAACAATAAAGCTGAAGTTTAACAACAATGAGAAATAAGGTGTTATACTTACCGAATTATTAATAGTACAAAAGTCAATTTGTACAATTGGAAAGGCTCGATTTTTTCTTAAGCCTTTTCAATGCTGATTGTCATTGAGGATGAGAGTAAAAAGTAAAAATGGAAACTAACCATCAAGAAAAAAATCGGAATTTCTCGATTAAGCTCTTCTCTTTAATCAATAAATTCAAAAAATATCATATCTTAAAAATGTTATAGAAAACGTTCACACCCATCATGAATCTAGGTTAAAATAATTTTACATAAACAAAGATATGAAAATATCAAAACACTGCGAACTTTAGCCATAGGTGTTAGAAGCAGAGTCGAGATTAGGAAGCGGACTGACTGGAGTTTGAGCAGCCTTCTGTCTTCGTTGAATTTCTTGTTGAATCATATACTGCTGTACATGATAAGGTAAGCCTGAATTTAGACTCAGCACATATGGCAGGATCATTTTTGATAAATCGGCAAAATCAACAATAACCTTGATAAACATTGTGTCATCTTTAACATAGTTATTATCAGCTTCCTGAATCATAGGCAGAGGAAAAAATTTAGGGATGCCACTAGCTATGTTCATTTCAGATTGCGGTCTCTGGAAACTATTCGATTTTATATCAGGTCGAAACGAGTCAATAACATGCCGATTTTGTCCGGATTGATCCAATAAACAAAATGTTACCGTATGATTAAACGGCCATTTGAGTATTCGATCATACTCTCCCCTTACTATTACAATAAATAACGACATGTGCGTTCGGCGAGCATTCCCATCGCCATGAAGGTATAACCGTGCCCTCATTTTATACCCAGTTGGTGAACTATAAAATGGGCGACTGTAGATGCTTGGTTGCCTCTCGGACTGTGCATCAGACATTTTATCAGAGACGTTGGTTATCTTCCAAATGAGTGTACCATCATAGGAAACAAACTCAATATTCTCAACTTGTTCTTTTAAAGTTGATAGTTCCTGCAGAAGAACTTTCTGATTTGGCGCAATTACATTTAAATTGGACTCTTTTTCTGCTATCGATATCTTTAATTGATTCATTTCATTAAAAGCTGATTGTATCAGATTTTGTTGTTTTAGAAACTCTGTACTCAACCTAGTCGCATCCTGGTTCAAAGTTTGAATACCTTGGGTTAGAATCATGAGTGTTTCATAACAGGTTTGTAACTGAGAATAACACTCACTTAAAGCATGGTTCGACACTGGCTCTTCTCTGCTCTCAAACTCCATTTTCTCCCGTTGCTCCATACTCCTTTGATTATTTCTCAGTTGAGAGTGCTGCTTTAAAGAAGGAGAAATCATCGTGTTAGCAGTGTGCTGAGAATCCATGATTGTATGGTATTGCGTACCAGTATCATTCACAAGCAAAACTAAAGACTGGAAATGTTTGAGAAAGTCTAACAGACTACTTTGATGTTCAACTGATATTAAATGATTTCCATAATCCAATCGTTCAATCTATAAATAAAATAAAATATCCCATTATAACTGAATTAATAATATTACTTTGTGCACAAAAATCAGCTAAAGTAAGCCGCCATTATGTACTTCAACTTCATTAATTAATTTAAGGTAGTTTTCTATAGATATTTCTCATAAAAAGCTCAGTATCCTTCGTGGACTTGGATTCACCGGTAATGACAAAACTCTGTTCTATTTACATCCACCATGGTAAAAATTGAAACAAATACCAATCATTACAATAGTACTTATGAAAACAAATTATATCTTCTTAGGCATATCATTTGTCTATTGAACAAGATGCAAAATAGATCTCCCGAATGTTTTATAAAACATTATTTTATTCGGGATCAAAAACGGCAAAACGTCGTTTTAATCTTTCTTTCCTTACGCTAAACCTGATGGTTCTAAGAATAACTCGATCAACAGCATCAATCTTATGGCTTCTAATATGTCGTGTTCATGCATTTACAACAGGAAAAGTTTGAAACAAATCCGTCACACGTACTGTTGTTGTTGATAAAGATTACATTCAAATTGTTGATTTGAAGTCAAGTCCACAATAGATAGGTTTTAAGCTCATATAAAATCTGTTTCTAAATATCTAATAGTTCAAGTGAACTAAATTTTTATAAAATGACGTCTATAGGGTTAATTTGACTGAACACAACGTATGATTGATGAAGGACATATTTTTGGCTTTACTGGTTTGTAAATTCATACTGACTTTTAAATTCAAAACTAACTGTTAATGATCCCTGTTTCCTCAAAAACCTGAGACCTGATACAAAAATTTACCCGAATAATCGACGCAGATTTTTTTGCTCTTTATTAGCAAAAGAATATTAGTCTACTAAATGACAGCATCAACAAAACGTTGTTATACTCTGCAATTAAATGCAACGATTTGGGCTACATCCGCGCGAAATCTCATTTTGAAGGAGAAACATGCCTGCTCATGACCAGATCACATTTGAGAGGATACGAACTAATTTTTCAGATTGATAAGTCTTTCTGAGAAAATAATTGATTTTAGAGATTTACAGAATCTTTCAAATATTCTATGTCAAGGCAAACTGGTTGCATTTTGAAGGGAGGCACGGGTATATCGAAAAAAGTTAAAAAGAAAAATATTAAACGATTAATATTAAAAATCAATTAAATATTTTTCTATCTCAACTAATAAATTTTTCGCCTAGGGTAGAAAAATATTATAATAAAGTTTTTCGCATAAGATAGAAAAACATTTAGTTATTTTAAAATAAAGGAAGAATATTTAAATAAAAACAAATATTGAACGAACTACCCATGAGGACTTTTTCGATGGAAAAAGTACGATATATTGTGACGTGACACCGATTGCGATAAAATACCGTATCGCGATGTAACATATCAATCTATACATCGCTATGTGTGGTCTTATCGTGTTATATGTTGAGATTATCGGATTACATACAATATTGAACAATATCGGGGTACATGTTACATACGCACATACAGCATTATCGCGATAAGCTTAAGACATGGCGAGATAACACCACTCATTGTGATGAATCGGTGAATATTTTATATCACAATATGATATTTACCGCGATCAGTGTCACATCACGATATATCGCAGTTTTCCCCTCCAAAAAATCCTCATGGCTAGTATTTAAATAAGGTGGAAAAATATTTAATAGATTTTTAATATTAGTCGTTTAATATTTTTCTTTTTAACATTAGTCTGTGGACCAGGGGACACATACGGGTTACTTAAATAAGTTGTCAGCTTGAATGGCAATTTTTGTAAAAGATCTCTCAACGAGAAAGAATGTCTGTCTTTTTCTATACTTATTTTCACTTATTCAAATATTACAGGAATGCCACTTACATGTTCTGGACATCCGTATTGTACCAATGGACAGGAGACTATAGCTTTTCTACACGTATGGTTGATGTGTTTATCCAGATCCGATTTTGATAAAAATGTTTCATGACAAAACATACACCAACAATTTGAAAGACATTTATCGCAATGTTTCTAAAAAGAACACACACTGATTAACTTTAAACCAAAGAAATAAAATGATAGAAAAAGTTACTTGATAATCTTTCAGTATTCCAGACCATTCACAATTGTTTCGTTTGCCAATGCATACAACTTGTATTTGGTCTAATTCCCGTTTAAAACCTCTGTCATCCATAAGCTACGGTAGAATCAATACATTTGTTAAAAGTGCAAGTATCTACCGACTTTTTATATTGGAATAGCCCTGTGACCCTTGTCCAGATGCAAGATTCACAGAAAACTATTTAATACCCCAAATAATACAATATTTTACGGCTCTGTCGACCGTCACAGCACAACTCAGTGCCTACTTATCCTATGTGCTAATTGTACTACAGCACAGGGGCCCAATCGAACGGCTTAAGCGTTGCATTTTTTATTATTAAACAAAATACAAATTGATGTGTCGAAAACTAAGGAAGTTACATTTTTGTAGAAAAAAAATTTTAAAACAAAATGTGTAAATAATTAAAATTATAATAAGATTCTCTCAGATATTAGTGTGAATATGTAGAAGAAGCCACGGTATATGAAGAATATGATAACATAATGCACGCGCATCGATGCTGCTAAGTCAAAATACGACCTGATCATTTGACTTGTCGCCCCTTTGCCGCTCCACATGCTATTCGTAGACGTAACAACATTCCGCTACTTATAGAAACACTACTTATAACATGAACTCGATGGAAATCGGGAACTCCCAAACCAAACCCTAACGATATATCAGAAAATCCGGCGCTTCCGCGACTTTTATTTTATGAATCGTTGCATGGCTTCTACTATAATTTTGTTTGTTTAGTCGTTTAGAGTTTACAATTAATTGCAATTTGTAACAAAAGTATTTATTTAACGAAATAAACATTACATTATATATTTTATTAATTGTGTGTGCCTTGTGTAAAAGGGTCGTAGATCTCTATACGATAACGGAATTTTAGAAGGTACGACTTGCTTGATTAACACGTTGACCATAAGAAAAAAATAATACTTGTTGTACGCCCACTTTTAATTTTTTTTTTAATTTTAACGAATATTATTATTCTTGGAGTGTATTACATTTATATAGCACAAAAATAAGTTTTAAACATAATTTAAATGTTTTTCTTTCATGCATTACATACGATTCATCTGAGAGACAGATAAATCATCAGACCGAGTACTTCCTTTATTTTCTCTGCACATGTTTCACGCCAAAATTATCTATCTTGTAACGTTTATCGATGCTTGATTCAGCCCGACTAAAACGCGTGCAGTTTTTCTATTTTACTTATTTTGTGGTGATTTATACATATTGACAAGTAAAAAGTGAAATATTTTCTTGTAGCATGTTAGAAATGTAATATTTATTTAGAGAAGAATGGCTTCCTCGAGAAAACCTCTTACTGAAGAAGAATTAGGACGATATGCAGAAGATATAATGAGTGAAAGTAGTGATGACTGTATTCAGGATCCAAATTTTGAATTACCGGATAGCGAAAATGAAAGTGAATTTTCGGATAATTCTGAATCTGACGAGGGAAGTACCCCAACTGATAAATCGCTTTTTCAACGAAACCGAGTGGACTATAGGTAGTCGACGATGCTGATTCCGAATATCACCATGAATGCTGCTGCTAGGCCTTCAAAGACCGGTCT